ACGGGGCGCGCCCTCTCTCCCTCCATCCTTAACACGGGGCGCGCCCTCTCTCCCTCCATCCTTAACAGGGCGCGCGCTCTCTCTCCCTCCATCCTCAACACGGGGCGCGCTCTCTCTCTCTCCATCCTTAACACAGCGCGCTCTCTCTCTCTCCATCCTTAACACAGCGCGCTCTCTCTCTCCATCCTTAACACGGGGCGCGCCCTCTCTCCCTCCATCCTTAACACAGCGCGCCCTCTCCCTCCAAACTTAACACGGCGCTCTCTCTCCACCCACATGGCCCTGAAATGCAGCGGATTCTAGCCCGCAGCCCTTCTCAGATCCACGTCTACTCTCCAGTCTCTAATGCTCTAGTTCAAGCCATCATCCTCTTCTGCCTTCGATTCACTACAAGCGTCCAAAAAAACACCCCTGCCCCGCCCCAGCCAGTCCCCCTGGGCGACTTGATGATGGTAGGAGGTGGAGCTTTTCAAACACCAGCTCCTGGCTGGTTGAGGGCTGAGTCCAAGATGGGGCCAGCAAAGTCCACAAAACGTGTCAAACGCTGTTGCATTCTGTGCAGTAAGCACAGAGAGGGGTTTCAGGGTAAGGCTCTGGAACTCATCCCACTGCAAGGAATGCATTCAGGACCTTTATTTTTCCTCCCAACTCCCTCCCTCACATGTCCAAGAGCTTTTGAGGAACACTTTTCCAGTCATAGCCTCTTCATGGTGCTCTCGATGTAAGACTCCAGCAAGAAAATGGTTTCATCCACTTGGATCTCACTGGCATCCAACCTGAGTGAAAAAGTGAAAGTATTTGTTCAGACAGTCATTAGTTTATTTAAAATTAGAAGCTGGGCTGGGAGTGGTCATGGAGAATTGTTTGATTACCCTTGAGAGTAATGGGGAGAAAGCAGGAGCACCTAAGGGATCCTACTCCCGACCACTGAGCTCCTCTCATGTGCCAGGTATGGAGGGAACTGCTGAGGATTCAAAAGGTACAGCCTCTGTCCTGGGGGAAACTTCAGTCTAGCTTGTGGCTAGGGGAATGAACAGACATATAAAGGCCCAGGGATACAAAGGTCTTGTGCGTTTTAAAATAGAAATGGATAGTGGTCAAGGCTTAAATTGAGTAGTGATTAGGAACAGACGCCAATTTCCTTAGTCTGATACAATCCGTCTGGGAAAACCCCACAGCCAACATCAATCGTAAAAGACTGAAAACCGAAGACCAGGAACAAGGTAAGGGTGTTGGCTCTTAGAATTTCATTCAACCTTCTCCTGGAGTTCTTGCCAGGGAAACGGCAAGAAAAAGGAAATGTGAGGCATCCAGGTTGAAAGTACACATAGGCATGATCTGTGTATAAAAAAATCCTCAAAGAATCTACAGAAAAATTGCTAGCTAGTGAATTATTTAGCAGTTATAAAAAATTTGCAACACAAAAACTAGCTTTATTTCTATGTACTATAAATGAACAATTCAAAAATGAAATTAAAAAAATACTAAAAATTTAAAAAGGAATAAATTTAATAAAAAAGCGCAAGACTTGAACCCTGAGAGCGAGATAAAACGCTCTGAGAGTGTTGAAGACACTAAAGACCGAAATAAAAAGGCCAGCCCGCGTGGGCTGGAGCGTTATTGCTGCTGACAGGGTAACAGTCCCCAAAGTAGTCACTGCTCAACAGCCACTGTAGAGACGCTTGGAGCCGGCGCTGCTGCAGAGCTGTGCAAGCCTATGAAACACCAAAAGCCTGGTATTTGTATTGTAAATAACAGAAGAGGGAGATAACACTTTTAAAGTGGGAGAAGGATAGCATCATTCATTTCAGAAACAATAGCTCTGGGAGCATTAGGAGAGATGGCTCGAAAGGGGAGTGATGGTGAGGGTCTAGGCAAGAGGTGGTGAAGGTCTGCCTGGGGCGAGATTACTGAGGTAAAATCAGAGTGTGTGGGGTGAGGGGAAGCTGAGGGTATCTCCAGAGATTTAGCTAGGAAAATAAGTGCATTAAATTTGGCAAATTGTGCTGGGAAGAAGCGAGTGAGTTTGGGTTTGCTTGTGCTAAGTTGAAGCACTGAGGATGTGGAGGCAGACTTGTCTGGAACGATGTGAAACAGGCCTGAAGGTCACACTTACTTGTTGACGTTGCGTTTCAGCGTCTCCAGCTGCTGGCGTTCAGGGGCAGTGATCATCTCCTCTATTTCCTGTAGCTGAGCCTCCTCAGCTCCGGTGGCCTGCATAGACGCGATGATGGCCTCCACCCTCTGAGACTTTTCTAGCAGACGCCTGTCAGAAAAGTGTGACTCGGAGGCTTGCTCACTAGCCTTGGAGATTCTCTCGCCCTTTAACCCTGGGACCAAACTGGGTTTCTGGTCAACATGTGGATAATGTCATTCTTTAAGGATGCTTTTTACAATTTAAATTAGAAACATGACTTCACTTCTGACTCTTACTGCTTCTTATTTGTAATTAAAATTTGGTGACAATCTATCACTGGGGTAATGCAGAAGTATGCATCATACACGTTAACCTAAGCCGACAAGTCAATACAACCAGACTGGTAATTGTTTTCCATTTCCCCTCAAGTTTTTTTTTTTTTAAAGATTTATTTATTTGTACATACAGAACTGAGGTACAGGCCAGAGGCTCAGGGGTGGCGAGAGGCTTCACTAGAGACACAGTAGGGAGCAGAACAGGCAGATCAATGAAGTACACTGCTGAGGGGAGCAGCGGGCGGGTCAGGAGAGGTCTGCCACACCATGTGGTCACCTCCGGGGCAGGCGGGAATCGAACTCATGCGGAAGTGAGTTTAGCTTCTCAGTGCAGTGCTTTAACCCGCTGCGCCACCAGGGAGGGCCCCCTTTTTTTTTTTTTTTTTTTTTTTTAAAGAAAAGATTTAGTTATTTATACACATAGAACTGGGGTACAGGCCAGGGGTGCAGGGGGTGATAAGATTCATCAGAGACAGAATGGGGAACTGAACAGGCAGATGTACTGAAATTCACTGCTGAGGGGAGCAGTGGGCGGGTCAGAAGAGAGCCTGCCAGGCCATGGGATCACCTCCCTGATCGGGGATCGAACTCGTGCTACAGGGGCTGCGATAGCTTCATGGTGCTGTGCTTTAACCCGTTGTGCCACCAGGGAGGGCCCCCCTCAAGTTTCTGACCTTGAAAGATGATGATGCTACTCACTTGTTCTCTCTGGTTTCAAATTGTCTCCTTTCTATCAAGTTGGCTATACTCTGAAGAGAGAGGAAACAAGAAATGCATAATTCTATTCCACAGCTCAGGTAACATGGCTAAAGGGGATATGAGTGAGATCTGTCTGCATGGAATGGGGAGAAGGTCTAGAAGTTACCTTGTAGCACCTGTGCAGCAACATTCGGGCAGCTGACAAGATGTTCACCGTATACAAGTAGAAGGTCCTGGATGGGGCGTGGTCTGGAGTTTTGGGAATTTCCTACTTGTCCAGAAAAAGAAAAAGTAAAGAAATTATACTGATCTTCAGAAATGGCAAGGGACACACCAGCCCCGGGGCTACCCACCCCTTCTCTCCCATGCAGTCATCAGGCATCTGTGGTCACGGCATAACCAGCCACGCGGAGAGTTGGGCTGAGTGGCTCTCAGGTGCCCGGGAGATTGTACTTGTGCCCGGGAGATTGTACTTGGTCTTTACGGTGAACCATGCTGCTTCGCCTTTACCACAAA